GCGAAGCTGGGACAGCAGGAGGAAGGGTGAGATTTTAGCTCTGAGCCCTGACCTCTCGGCTTTCTCTTTTACATTGTTTCTGTGTTTCTTATTTAATAAGATGGTTGGTTACATCTACAGCTATCCATAGTCAATACTATCCAAGATTATCATAAGTTTTATATGATTCATGCATCTGGTTTTAAAGGAAAAGAGATTAATGCTGCTAGTTCCATAAAATCTACTATTCTGTGAGATGAGGGTTACCAACAAGGCATATGACTGGGTACACTGGCAACAGTGTAAGAGTGAGAAACCTTAAGTGCTAACTAATATCTCCAAAAGAGACATCATTGATTGTAGCCCATATGGCTCCACTCAAGGGAAATATTCTCACTCAGCATTAAGATGGAAATGGTACAATATAAATGGAGCTGTGGAAATCAGTGCTTCTATTAATAAGCCTATCTGGTGGCATGAGGTGGGAATGGCAAGTCCTCTCCTGAAATTTGGCAATTCAATTCAGACTAACTTGTGGAAACTGGCAAGTGCTTTCTACCCTCTTATGTCATGGGAAGGAAAATTAAACATTTAGGATGATAAGTGTACTCTGTCTTTTAGACTAAATCAAAGCCATCCTATTATGGCATGTGTATGATTAACTTACTTGCCACTAAAGGTGCAGTTATTATGGAATCATTGCATTGACTGCTACAGCAGCAACTGCTGGAGGGACACTTCATGAAGAAATCCAAACCACTGAATTCATTAGAGACTGGCATAGACATTCAGAAGAACTTTGGACTGAACAAAATAAGATAATGAAATATTAAATGAATTAGCTGAATTAAGGAAAGTTGTTGTATTGTTAGGGAATCAGTTAGAAATTTTGAAGGCGCAGATAAAATTAAAATGTGACTAGAATGTTTCTTGATATTGTATCACACCCTTAAGATTTAATGAAAGCAAGTATGATTGGGAAAAGATTAGGATGCATTTGTTGGTTCACCCTAATTCTTCTCAAATGGTTTTTGATTTACAAAAAGAAATTAAGGAAACCTTGGCAAAAAGAGTTACCCAATATGGCAAGAACAGATATTATGGAAAAATCTACCAGATACCATAGCCTCATTCAATCCTATGGATCTCTTTAATAGATTTCTTATCTTAGCAGGTGTTGCTCTTTTTCTAGCAATAGTAACTTTATTGGTTTTAAGATTCATTTTTGGTATATTTGCATAAGATTGTACAACAAATAGATAGAAGAAGGCTGTATTTGTAGTAAGGATACAAAACCTTCAAGAAAATTGATATCTTGTATACAGAAAGAGGCATCCATGGCATTCATGCTGAGATACACCTGGCCTGGCTCCAGAGAGTAGTACCTAGCCTTAATCCATCCTTTGTTTAATCAATATGTTTTGTTTCTTTAGCCACCCTATGTGAATCTTGTTCCTTGAATGAACATTGTTTCTAGGAACACCCTGTTTACAGATCCTTTTCAGATGACCTTTTTTACTGCAATTAAAAAACCTGGCATTATTATTTTTCCTCAAAGCATTTGATATCACCTCTTCTATTCACATATCATCATGGTCATGAGACTCAATATTAATTGTGTCCCTGATCCAAACCTCTAAGGATTCTGATTGTGCCTTTAATGGCCAAATTATTCTTTTGTAGGCTGTATTAGTATTCTCCAAAGCCAAAAATTCAATTATTATTGTCTAGCTTCTGAATTTGGTATCATTCTATTTATTGCTGAAGGCAACCTTAGTAAGAAATCCATGAGAGCTTCTTTTGGGCCCTGTATAACTTTTGTGAATGATTGGCATTTTTTCCTGCTTCCTCAATTCTGTTCCATGCATTAATGAATGCCATGCAGCATTGACTTAGGGTTTGGTTATCATATAAACATTGTCTTTGTATATCAGCATAATCACCTTCTCCAAGAAGCTGATCCTGGGAAATTCTTATACCTCTAGTCCTACATCATTGTTCTAAAGTTTTAGCCCCCTCTTTAAACCATGATCTACACTGTAATTGTGCTCCAGACTCCAGGACAGCTGTAACCAATTCTTTCCAGTCCTGAGGGATGAATCTATTACAAGTTGACCACTAGTTTAACATCTGCTTTACAAATGGGGAATGTATGCCATATAATATTGTAGCTTCTTTAAATTTCCTTAAATCTATCATTTCTACTGGAGTCCAGTTAGATTGTACATGCCCTTAAGCATTTGGTAGTTCCTGTAAGGTTACCAGGTAGATTAAAGTTTGCTGGCTGGTAACCTGAAGCTGTTTCTCTGTAACCATATAATTTAATCCCGAGATATGTTCACATTTAAATTCTCCTCTCTGGGTCTGAATTTCTCTATAATTCATTTTAAGAGGTTTTCCTAAAGCTTTTACCTTGGCACTTAAATTGACCAACATTTTTAATGCTAAAATAAAAATTATCAAACAAATAATATTCATAATTGATGTTATGTATATCCTATCAACATTGATTGTGCTCTTATTCAATTGTTCCACTTTCAGACTGCCTAATGTGTTATCAAACAGAAACCAAATTCTTCCTTACTTAGTAAAAATGTTTCCCATTTTATAATGCAGGAAAATAAAATTCTCTTTTAACTAATTTCTTCCTTTAAGATATCTTAATTGACTTACTAAATTTGTCAACTGTGTAGAACAGTAGAAATCCATGGGAATTTCAAAGCAGCTACCTAGTATGGTGGCAGTCCAAGATGGGAATCCAGAGAGAGACCACCACCCACCAGGACAGAAAAAAGCCAAAGAGATCCTGGCCACAAGCAGCTTGCCCTGAGCCTTGTAGCTCGAATCTGAGCTGGGGGGCCTGTAACATGTGGCTTTTTAATGAATTCTTGTCACAATTGTTGGACGCCAATTGTAGACAAATTTCTAAATGGTCTTATTAAATAAAAATACATGTAGCCAGATATAGGGGTTAAAGCCTGAGAGAGATCAGAGGAATAGGGACAGCCACAAGCTAACCTAACCTCACCAATACCTCAGCTTCCAAATGCAACTTATTTCCTGTCAACACATGCCTATATGCCTTGCTGTTCTGCCATGTGATTTGCTGTCTCTGTTTAGCTGCATCACTTCCTCTTCCTGCCCAGCTTGTCACTTTCTGTTTGTCTGCCCAGACCTTCAGACATCCATTGTTAACTAGTTTTGTAATTTAAGGCATGTGCCACAATACCAGGCTCTGTTTCCAGTGGGGCCTTGAACTCACAGAGATACAGACAGATCCCTACCTGCCAAGTGATAGGATTAAGGATGTGTGCCACCACTGCTTAACTTTTGTGTTTACTTTTAAGAATCTTGTGTGAGTCTCCTAAGGATACAATACCTATGCATAACTTGATTCAGGAAACCCAGAAAACCATGGTACCTGAGAAATCAAGGAATTTGTAGTTGGCATTGTATCTTTGGGAACTCCTTTTAGGTTGTTTTGAACATATGGAAATTAACTGGCTGAACTGGAAATAGAGAGAAAATAAAAATACTCTGAGCAAAGGGATAGTATTTCAGTCCTTAGAGGCTGGAACCCCCTGCAGCTGCAAAAGGCTAAATTCATTCTTGAGCTGCCTCTGAGACTTCTTTCCATGGATCCACATGAACACACACACCCATGCCACAGCCCTCCACAGTAATGTGGTCATCAAATAGAGATGGTCTTTGTACATTAGCATAATCACACGTTCCATGAAGTTGGAATTGGGAAATTTCAATTTCTCAATCCCTACTTCATTGTTCAATGGTCCTAACCTCATCTTTCCACCAGTTCTTCCACTGTAATTGAGGACAAGGCTCCAATACTCCTGTAATCAAGTCTCTTCAGTCTTGTGGGATAATTTTATTATAAGCTGACAATGAGTTTAACATCTGCTTCACAAAAGGTGCATGCATATCTGTAGCCAGAAGTTTCTCCTGTCACACCTGCACCCACAGTCCCATGTTTCTCCAATCCCACCTGGCTCCATTGTCTCACAGCTGCTTATAAAATAATCATTGAGAGGCTTAACATTGATTGCAAACTGCATGACCTAGGGCTTCTACTTCTGGCCAGCTTGCTCTTTCATCTTAACCAATTCCTACTAATCTATATGTTGCCATGTGGCTGTGGCATTACCAGTATGCTGGCATCATTTTGCTCCTTTTGTGGCAGACTGGCAACTCCTCTACATCTCCTTTCTTCTTCCTGTCTCTGCTTGGATCTCCTGCCTGCCTCTAACCTGCCTTGCCATAGGCCAATGCAGCTTTATTTATTAGCCAATAGGAGCAACACATATTTGTAGCATACAGAAAGACATCCCATAGTGCTTCCCCTTTTCTATCTAATCAAAAAGAAAGGTTTTAAGTTTAATATAGTAAAATTGTATATAACAAACAATTATGAAGCAAGAATTAAAGTTACAATATCTATTATATTTGTATTTTGCAAAATTAAAGATACTATTCTATCTTGTATTTTTGAGTCTAAGGTTTCATATGTAATTGATCTTTTATCATAACCAAGGAAAAGTATAACTGTTTAGTCTTCAACTATATCAAATAAAACAGAAGGATATACTATTACCTACATAAACAGGAAGTGCTTTTTAAGCCACTTTCAAAAATCTAGAATGGCAGAGACAGCTGGCTTCCTAGACAGTCACCCAAAGTTCCTCAGCAATGTTGGGACATCCTTCCTTAGTCTATAGGCCTAGAGTTTTTCAGTTGCTTCTCCCTGTATCCTGTAGAAATCTGGCAGTCTCCTCTGCGAACCAGAAAACTGAAGGACCATATTGCCTTGTTTGGTAAAGTTAAATGCTCATTTTCCATGGGTCCTGTATATCTAGTCTATATGACATACTGTCAAGCAGTCCAAACAAGAGCAGTTCTTTCCCCAGAAGGCAATTTTGTGCCAAGAAGATAAATTTTTTGTGGAGTGTTTTTGATACCCATCTTCCTCTTTGAGATAAATCCATGCTGCCAGGAGCAGACATGTGTGGTGTTATATTGTGTCCCCCAAGGTACTGTGTCCCCCAGTAAAATTTATCTGAGGATCAGAGGAAAAAGCCAGCCACTATAAATAAACATGGAAGTCAGGCAATGGTAGCACATGCCTTTAATTCTATCACTTTGGAGGCAGGGATCTGTCTGGATCTCTGTGAGCTCAAAGCCACACTGGGAACAGAGCAAAGGATGGTGACACATGCCTTTAATCCCATCACTAACCATAGATGTCTGGATGTCTGTACAGACAGATAGGAATTGACAGCTGGACAGGAAGATGAAGTGATATTGCTTGGCTGAGAGATACAATAAGAGAACAGAACAGAAAGGCATATAGACAAGGGTATATAGGAAGTAGATCTTTTTGGAGACTGAGTTGTTGGTGATGTGAGGCTAGTTTGTGACTTTTCCTATTTCCCTGATCTCTCAGGTTTTCACCCCTATATGTGGCTCTGTGTTTTTTATTTAATAAGACTGTTTAGCAATTTGTCTATAGACATGTCTCACTGTCCAGAAAGTCTAAGTTTTTAAAACAGTTTGAATGGTATGTTCTGTAAGTCTTTGAAGTGTTTGAAGATTAACTACGTAATTAAAATATACCTTTATATATGCAAAAATTAACTAACATGACTACAAGTTTGATTATCCTAGATGACTATTAATCTATATTTCTTAATTATATATTACCATTTTAAATGAGCCACATAAAGAGAATACCTTAAACAAGAGTGGAAATATATATATATATACACACACATTATGGCAAAATTAGCTAAATTTGTAACAAACTAAAATCTATAGTGATATAAAACACTTTAAACAAGTTGTTGCTCTTTAAAAGTAGATTCAATAATCTAACCTTTCATTCTATTATACCTATAACATCCCCTTTGCTTCTTTAGAAAGAGAATGCATTTATAATAAACCACCTTTAGATAAAAATAAACATTTATAAACAATATTTTGGGAATTTGGACATAGCTTTTCCTACTACTTCCTGCTGATTGGGGGCACTGGTAATCTTATGGGGATCCTGAGAAAATTAAGAACTATAGTTACATCTTGGCTATAGTATTCTGTGAGGATGGATCATCTCAGCTAGTTGCATTGAGGCTGAGTTTGGATGTTAGGTCATCTGTGACACAGTTTCATTAGAGCCCTTTCAGAGGGTCTTGGCTGATTAAACCATATTAGCCTGGAAACAATCCATAAGTTCTCATCTTCTGTGGAAAGAAAAGCAGAAAGAAAAGCAACATATCATTAGACATAACTTTTGAAGTCAGGAATATATATATATATATATATATATATATATATATATGTATGTATTTGTGTGTGTGAAAATATAATCCAGAATTTCTGTGTGATTTCTATCTTTAAATGGATTATTATATGATTTTTTATAGTCTCTTTAAAGACTTTACTTTTTAAAACTATTTCTTTATATAACTGTCTATCCTCAATTCCTCTCTCTTCCAAGCCCATGTACATTTTTCTATACAATGTAAACCATTTAGAGGTTCATTTCATCTGAATCTGTCACTCATATTAACCAACTCTTTTAGAGATTAAACAAGAATGATCAAATTGATAATATTTATAATTGACATAACATAAATCTTATCTAATTGTCATCTCATTTAATTGTTCCATTTTTAAACCATCCATTATGTAATGATACAGGGACCTAACTCCCTCCAATGTAATAGTGTTTCCCATCTTTTCACTTGGAAAATTTCTCTCTCTGTTTTTTTTAAACCAATTCCCCTCTTTTAGAAATCCCATTTGTCTCACCAAATCTGATGATGATGACAGTGAAGATGTGAAGATGGTTGATTGCTACTTTATAGAACAGTAGAAGCCTGACCAGGTTTTCAAGGCAACTACTTAGTTTGGCAGCAGCCCAAGGAGGGGGTCCAAAGACAACCCACAACCCACTGGGAGAGAGAACCTGTTGTCCCTAACACATACACAGGGGATTTTGAGGAAGAAGCACATGTGACTAGAACTTCCTAAAGACAGAGCTGGAGGATGGTTAGGGGCTAACTCCTGCAGCATTTGGAGGCCAAGCACCTGTGGAGTTTGCTGCAGTGAGGCTGCAACTGAAAACATCCCAGACTGGCTCAGAGGTCTTGGGGAGAAGAAAGGAAACCTAGACAGCAGGGTGGTAACTCTAGCATGAGCGCTCTGTGCAGCTCCGGTGTGTTCCAGTGACTGCAAAGCCATGTACAAGTGACTTTTTCATGAATTCATACCCCAAAAGTTAGATGCCAGATGAAGCACAATGCTAATTAGTCTTAATAATAAAAAACCCAGAGTCAGATATTGCGGTAAAAGCTGAAAGATCAGAGAAACAAATGAGCAGCCACAGTCACCTCTTACTTCTCTGACTTCTCAGACATAAAAGGCCAAGATCCTGTCTTGCCTTATGAATTCCTCTCTCTATCCACCCATATCACTTCCTGACTCCTGTCTGTACAGTCCTTCAGACTTCTATGGTTAACTAGTTGCTAGCTCTACCTTCTAATATTCCAGCAAGCTTTATTTGTCAGAACACACAAAAAAGTATTACAACATGCTTAGGAATATATCCATTTAAAAATATCCTATTGCAACAGTTTTCATATGTTCTACTAAAAATGACAACTCTACAATTAAAGTCAAACATGAATGAATTGCTCCTATTACTTTCAGCTGATGACTCCAAGTTCAAAAAGCTGTAGGATTTTGAACTGGACCAGTCCCTCTGGATAAGTGAGACAGTTGATTAACTTGAACTCTTTGAGAGGCCCCTAGGCCGTGTAGCCAGGTCCTGTCTTTCTGGAGCCTGGGGCCTATGCTGAGACACTTTGCTCAGCCTTGGTGTATGGAGGAGGGGACTGGCCCTGCCTTGGCTCAGTCTGCCAGACTGGGCTGACTCCCTAGGGGAGACCTTGCCTTGGAAAAGGTGGGAGTAGAGGGTGGATTGGGGAGGAGGGTTGGGGGTGGGAGGAGGGAGCACAGGGGAATCTGTGGCTGTTATGTGAAATTAAGTTAATTATAAAATAAAAATACTATTAAAATATTATTAAAGCAGCTTATCAAGTCCTTACAGTGAGCAATCATATGTTGGTGTCATTACCATAATGATTATCACTTTATAACATTTGCCTAACTTTTGATTGTGAGAATTGTTTACTTTGTTAATAATGATAGACCTTTATCCATCATGTACTTGTTATGTATCACCATACTTATGACTATAGTATACAGATATAGAGATTGGAACCTAATGTGCGCTGCCTTATTCAGTGCCTTCTTGGTCTTAGGGAAAAGGGAGGGGAAAAGGAGGGAAGGAAAAAAAAGAGGGGAGAAAAGACAGAATTTCAAGGAATATGAAAAAAGCATGCAGAATATTTCTAAGATTTAAAATTAATTATATATTTAACAGAATGGCAAATAGGGCTCCATTAAACATTGATTGAAATCATATCAGAAAAAGTTCAGGACACTGACACTAGTTTGCATTTTATCCAGAATTATTTAGATTTCTTCAGAGGAACTTTTATCATAAGATCATTTTTATACATGTATGTGTAAAAAAGATTAGAGGAATGTGAAACTGGAGGAAATATTATTTGCAATAGTATAAACTACTGAAAATGTTAAAATTAACATCAGGAATATTGGAACTGGAAGAAATCGTGTTTATCAGATGTTAGGGAGAAATAACTTGGAAGTGTATTATTAAAAAAACATACATTCATTAATTTCTCTAACAAATATGCTTATGTGCTGACTTCTTACTGAATAGTAGAAATGAAATAGACGTTAGCTATATATTACTAATAGTTTAGAAGTACTTTTTCTAAAATAGGTTGAAATGCAAACCAACAATATTTTTACTTTAAAAATGAATGAATTTGCATATTTTACCAATTGATTCTAGAAATTTCAGATGAAACATATTGCCTGAATTAAATTTAGATAAACTATTTGCTCATTACTTTTTCTACTAATTAAAAAGAAAAATCTATGTAGTTTATTAAACCTGTAGAGGAAGGCAACTATTGGAAGTTTATGAAGACATTTGGTAGGACATATACTTGGATAAAATATGCAAAGCATATTATGCACAGAAATGAGAAAAATTATTGGAAGTAATATTAGTAATTATAAAATGCATGCTGAATAAATCTCACAGTCAGATGGCCTTGATCCCCAAAAGAAAACAAAAATGTGAAAATGTTAGCATGCTTCATAATTGTTGTGTAAATGAAATGAGAACAAAACTTTAATTCCACACCTGGCTAATTTTAGCAATTCAATTACAAAAGGCTATTGTTATGGTTGATATTTTCATTATTATAATTTGCACATAGTCATCAATTATTCACAATAAAGTAATTTTTCTGAGTTTGTGATTTGCTGTCATCTATGTCCCCATAATGCTTATTTAACTGAAGTTCAGTGCAATTAGTTAGTAATGATTGTATATTATATGTTAATTTTCTAGGCACCAAAATAAAAATAAAAGAACTGAACAAAGAATTGTTCAAAGGAGTTTTATTTGAGTAAGAAAATGCTCCTATATGACAATTCAAATACATAGTGTGATAAAAAGATAGATATTTTATTAAAACTAAAATTTCCATTTGAGAGCAC